AATTTACTAATAGCAGGCTCACCTGCGTAAACTGCAGCTGCGATACATCTTATATGTCCACTGAAAACATTTGAGTTCTCTCACTCTTTATAAACTTTGTAAACTACAAGCTAAAAGTGGCTTTTCTAAACTATTAGAAGGACGTTTGGATTGTCAGATGAGATATAAATGTTTTGTTTTCTTTATAAAATTCCCTCTTACTTTCTTGATAAAATAAGGGAACAGTTGAATGAAGAAGACAGATTTTACAGCTCCACTGCAGCCCCAACACTACCTGTTTGACAAACACTATAAACTAATAATTTATTTCCCTTGCTTAACAGACACCCAATGCAACTGTTAAGTGAATATCTAAGAAGCTCAATACACAAAACGTTAAAAAGTTAACCTAAGGAGACTAATACTTAGCCTATTTATTTAGCAGCGCTACAGTGATGTGTTCTATATTCAAACTTAAATTATATCCCTATGATTTTAAGTTTAACACAATTTGGGAACTACACATACGGAGCAGTGTTATAAACCCAAAAGAGACAGAGAAAAAAAAAAAAAAGTAAACAGAAATCAGGATAAAAATATGCAACACATTCAACTGCCAAAAAAAATCTAACCGTAATAGTGCAGTCAAAAAACTTTCCCAACAATTATCATTCCTATTTTACCGAACAAATCAGTGCTTTCGTATTCTTACCCGCAGTATACATTTGAACAATGCAGAGATCAGTAGAAAAACACACAACTAAAATATCGAACTTTGTTCTGATAGTACAAAAAACGTTTTAAATTAGAGATTATGCGATACAATTCTCCTTAAATCAAAAACGGTGTTGAAAACAGCGTTTAAGCGATAAAATGCCTCAGTAATGTCATGTAAAATGTAATTTCTGTGGAGTCATTAACGGAGCCCTTACATTTGAACTTGCTGAGCACTTCCCGGTGAATCTTTAAATAAGATGATACAATTAAATAAACGAAAACAATCAACTATATTTGCATTGTCACATAGTAAGGCATGAAACAACCCATAGTTTAACATTTACACGTTTGAATTTGTTTTGTTTTTTCCAAAGCCTAATGATCAAATAATTTAAAGCAAATAACAAATAAAAGTTGCATTTCCCTTTCACCTAAAATTTCACTGATCTTTAATCAAACTACACTAAATAGTTCACTTATCACACTGCCCCAATTAAAGATGGGCAACCTAATTATCTCCTAATCAGCCATGTGTGCCTTTTTTAAAAGTACAATTAAATCTAATGTCTGTTACAATCACGAACCGTCACGTAGCTTTGTAAACTGATTATGCAAAGATAATCAATGGCCTGTGGTAGAAATAATACTGAGCAGAATGCAGGCAGAAATGCATCTTAATTCCCAAATCTCAAGCAAACCTAGCTTCAACAACATTGTTGTTTTCTACGTGAAAAACTTTGGTCAACAACTCTAACTAAAGAAAAAAAAAAAAAAAGAAAAGAAAAAAAAAGCTCCTTCATCTTCTTTAAAACCTTTTTGGACTGGAAAGGTCTGACGAGACTGAGCAACATTTTTGTTCGTCAAACAGCAGAAACCTCCTTCTTCCTCTCTGTTTACAGTGTTAGTTTAAGGATACTTTTAGGGATCCAGAAAGAACTGCATTTTCACTGGATAGTCAGTACAGTCTTTAAAACAATGTACACAAAGTGCAAGTACACAAGTAATTCTCAGCGATGACACAAGGTTCAGGAATATGTTTTTTTTTTTTTTTTTTTTAAAGGGCAGGGCATCTCCATGACTCGTGTGGATCAACTCTTTTGCTACCTTGTTTTTCTCACCTGCGCTGAAAACTGGAGACACAAATGGCGAACACAATTAAGTGTCCCATGCTCCTCAGACCCCACAGTCATTAGTTCTGTCTTGGAGTTTGCGGTTGAGGATGAGGACGGTGGAGAGGGAGGCGACAGAAATGTGGAAGATCAGCTGCCAGACATTCCTCATGCCGAGCAGGTACAAGTTGCATAGGACGATCACGCTCAACAGAGTGAAGGACTTCAGCTTCTTCAGAGACGAGTGGAACAGGTAGAGGTGGCACTGTGGACACAGGGAGTTCATTCGCAAGCTTAATGCCACGCGGATTGCAAGGACGATGTGTAATGCCGGTGTGTGTTGAAAATGTGAACTGCGTTTACCTGAGACACGCAGCAGACAAACGCCAGAAGAAATGCCACAACGTTCCATATACCCTCATAGTCATCCTGTGCAAAGGGAAAAGAATAAAAGTTCACTTCAGCTGTTTGTATGTAAAAGTTATTCCAAATTTGAAACAAATTCACACAAGAGTGATAATCTGTCCAGTTTTCTGCAAATCACAATGTTATTATTTTCTATGTAAACACCTTTTGCTTCCACAGCAAAATGCTAATGCATAGCAGCCAGTTCAGCCAGATCAACATATCGGTAATTAATATCATCTCATGCATGACTTAAGTTCAGTTTGTTTATGTGAATGAGAAAGCCACGACGTTTGCATTTTTGTCTTACACATGTATATTTTTTGTATATGTTTGCAAGTTGTGGCACATTGACATGCTGCAAATGTTATTCAACAGTTATTCATTTTAAGTATTTGTGAGAAACATCCAAGCACCGCCATACCTGGAATGTGTACTCTATGAGGTGCACACCACGGATTACATTCAAGGAAGCGCACATAATATTCAGGACCAGAGAGAGGATGCCTGGTGCTGTCACTGGTTCAAGTCTTACATTTTGACCTGTTAAAACAAAAGAAAGTGATCATATGATTAGTGGAGAGCAATCAAACATATTCAAAAAATATGAGGACTGTTCATCATTTGATTCAACCAATAAATCCGTTTTACAGTGCTGTTATAGGCAGTAATAATTTGACAGTACTGCTCATTTTATGCTGTATAAGCCCTACCAGATCCAGAACCTTGCTCCATATGTCCATTTGCGATGCCATTGGTGAGCTCCACCTCGTCCAAGTTAATTACTTGTAGTGGATGGATCCTCAGATCCTCCTGGACCTCTGCCAATGTAACCTCCAGGGCCGGACCACCGCTCTGGTTGTACTGCTGCTTCAGCTTCTGAATGGTGCTGTCTGTCAATTGGCAGCAAGGGTAACAGATTTGTGTCAAACAACTTATCTAACTATAAATTAAAGGAGACGACCAAAACACAGGCGCTTTGTTTGTCATTCAGCATGTGATATTTAAATTCAAAGCAAAATCCCTCGCAATCAACAGCAAATCTATGTGACAGTATTTCGCTTCCTACTCACCAAATTCCAAAAATGGATATGGCCTGGCTGCCAAGGCAACAACAGTGCTATTGAAGCATGCTGTGAACTCCCAGCGCAGATCTTCCAGGAAGCAGAAGGCCTTAGCAACAGGGAGGCTGCAGTGGCACACAGTCATGTAGGATACACCCTCTGAAGAGATGAAGCTGAACAGTCGAGAGGAGAAAAGGTGTTTAGTAAACAAACAGCCTGACACAGCATGACATGGATGCCCCTGTGATCAAATGGACAACATTATTTCTGTGTTCTGCATTAGGATGTGTACTGTGTCTTTGTACAGCTACAGAAGACACCACTGAAACGGTCTGCTGCGGCTTTGATTCCTGAATCCTTACTATATGTTGAGCTCCTGGCCCTTGACCGTCCCTCTGTCAGGGAAGCGGGACAGCGCCTTGCTGATGGCCCTGAGCTGCTGTTTCCTCTCCTGGAGCTCTCTGTTATGTTCAAAGTCTGTGGAGGCTGACAGGGGAAGTCCATCCCTGACCCGAACCACAAAGGCGAAGAGGATCAGAGACATGATCCACTGGGTCCATGAAGAACACACTGTCTGCATGGGTTACAGATCAAGATCAGATCATCAGGATTACTATATGAGGGTTGCAACTAAATTATTATCAGAATGTGACAGTTATTTTCTCAAATAATTGAGAAATTGAGATTTTGTTTACTATCACAACAGACAGAAAAGAGAAGCAATAACTGAGGATTTAATATTTTGGCTTATTGTTGCTTGAATATAACCTAAATGATTAATACATTATCAATATAGTCACAAATTAATTTACAGTCTATTGACTCACTGTATCAATTAATCGACAGCTCTGTATTAAATTAAAATACACTCAATTGCCAGTGTATTACGTACACTTGACTAAAACAATTACAGTCTACTATAACAGCCTTGAAATACAATCTGCCTTGACAGTTTCATGCTGGTGTTGATTCACCTTTATGGTCATTTTGGAGGCTTGTGGTGTTGCTTAATTGCACTGCGCTATTCTGAGAGGCGTTTCTGACAGGTTGCTTACTCTATTTTTATCAACAGACTGAATAATACACCACATGTTTACCTACAACCGGTGTAATTACACTTCAGCAGCACCACTACAACATCCAAAGGGGAATTTAAGGTAAATTAACATCTCTCTACCGCCATGAAGGCTGAATTATTGCAGAGCTTTTGTATTATTGTAGTAGACTGCATGAGTTTTAGCTGGGATACATTATAGAGTGTATAATTTTAACTGCGTAGATTTAAAAATTGTGCAGTCTGAACTTGGGAATCTGTTAACTCTCGCCTGAGATAAATAATGTACGCGTAGTAATACTTTTTACACCTTACCTCATTATCATGGGTTTCATGCTGCACCTTGTTACTTAGCTACTGTAGGTTAGCTGACTATAGCATCATATCAAACAAATACACCACCAGCAGGTAGCCAGCCCCAGCTTCAGATACGCGTTACGAGTGCAATCGCATACTTTCTGATACCGGCGATTAAAATGGAGAACCTGAATAACCTGTTATAACATTTACGTAACAAATTATTAAAATAGCTAACGAGCTAACTTGAAGTCTTCTTCCTGATACAACAAAACCACAACAAATCTTCTACAGGAACTCGGGAGGGACAAAACTACTGGCAACCAGTCGGAGTTATATCTCACAGCGCACCAACCTCCTTCACTAAAAAGTGAAGTTAGCTCATGCTTGCTGACCGTCAGTGACTAGCTAACTGGCCAGCTAGCTACTGTACAGAGGTTAGTTGTGTTATTAACATCTTTGCATCACCTGTAGTGTAATTGTCATCGTTACGTTAAATGTTAATTGTCATTGCAGCAGAAAGAAATCTAACGGAAGCCAGCTAACTCTAGCTAGCTACTAGCTGTTAGCACAACCATTTTGGAAGCGTTTGTGTTAACGTAACCATCGTTAGCTATGTAGCAAGTGGATGATTTCCTTTGTCTTTTACTCTCTCGGCATGGCTTGATCTCACAGTAATGGATGGTTTATTTTAAGCTAAACAAAACAGAGCAATGAGTAAAACGTGTCACACTGATAGTTAGCCAACGTTATGCGAGTAGTGAATGTGGAGATTCTTGTGCTAATAAATGTCGCGCAGTTCCTAGTGTGAATTGACAATATTGCTGGTTCCTGACATTTTTTTTAATTTATTTTTTTATTGCTTTTACATTATTCATCAGGCTTTTTAGCTAGTGTCGTTTTCATGACTTGTATGACATTTAGGTCACATTACTTTGTGTTCTTTGTTAGTTCTCCTAAATATGAAGGTGTTTATTGTTAGAGGGAAGGTTTTACAAAGTGTCAGTGTCAATCTCAGTACATCAAAGTTCATGCAGTCATGGTTTGCAACATGATATGAGTTTGGCTATAAATACAATGCGTTCCTGTCTCTGTGTTGAGCACTGGCAGCTGAAGTGATGTGACCCATAAGCTATTGTACAAATCCAGTATCATCACCTCCAGTTTTTATTCATCAGATTTGTGACCACAGTGTAATTCAGCTACACTGTCACAGTTTTCTCTTCTGTCATTAACTATGCAGGACTATGTAAGATAGTAAGATCTGCACTACCGCTTCAGTTATTGTTCACTCATTTACTTAGAGTTCATATCAGCTGACACACCACACCTCCACAGATGTCAAAACTCTGGAAATTCACAGGTATAATCAAGTGTGTGACTGCATTTCACACGTGGAATTCAAATGGAAATGGAAAAAGTTGTTTAGGCACTCAGCAAATTGCTTTTAAACCACAGTCCAAATCCTAGCTTATTCTTCAGCAGTGGGTTTTGTCCTTGATTATTATATAAGACCCTCTGTTGTACAAACAGAAATTCACAGAAGTTGACCTGTGTCATTCTACTAGAAAGGGTGGTATCATGGCAGATTCACACAGTAAGGTATTGCCAAATTAGGTTGCAGAAATATCTTCTTTATACCCTGCTGATACTACTTCAGAGCCTGCTCTTTCATGTTACATTACTAGTGTCCAATAAATTATTTGATGAAGTGAAAGCTCCATATCCTCCCTTTGGGTTTACTGCTCTCAGTGGCCCGAAATCCAGTAATGATTTCTCCATATTTCACTTGTCAGCGTACTGCATGCATATGCAAAACACTTCCCTGCAACATCCGAACACACCATTTGAGGTGATAATTGTTACATGTCAGCACAGTGACACAGGGTTTGTTTAAATAATAGGCAACTTTAATAAATCCAGACATTAGTGACAGATTATTATGAGACGCTGTACTTTCTCCATGTTGCGCTTTTATTACCAATAAAGCTACACAAACTGTTCACAAACCAAATGTTTTCATATACTGTAGGTATAATTGAAGACGTTAATGACATATTTTTGTGCACAAACTGAAAACCTTGTGCTCTTCAGCTTCTCTACTCAACAATAGAACACTGACACAGAACAAGTTCAGACAGGCTTTTGGAAACATGATTTAGTTGCTACTTGTCCACATAATGAAAAATAAACATTAAAACCAAAAGGCTTCTGACACAATTTGGATATGGTTTTTAGGCAGAAAGAACCTCATCAATAGAAAACTACTTCTACTTTTACACTAAATTTAAAGTAAATATCTAGAATTAAACAAATAGAATATGCTGATTTGGATGTGTAATGTGCAAGCTCCCCCTGATTATATACTTGACTCATGCTTGTGCATTGTCTTGATTAAGGTAAATCAGTGCAGTTTCTTTCCATTTCCAGTTTCATACTGTCACTGACCTGAGTCTGTAAACTGTCATACATTCATATCCAAGTGGACAGTAGAGACAGGGGTTAAAAATGTACAGTGAGGAGGCTGTGTTGTGCTCTGCTTGGATTTGCATTGCCAGTACATTTCCTCATAGACTTCTCTCTGCCTCTCTCTCTCTCTCTCCTCCCATTGTTCTCTCTCCTCCCATTTCTGTTTCTATCTTCTCTCACTGTCTTTTAGTCACTCTACATTGTTTTCCAACACACTCCTGTCAGTATGCTGTACTTTCTAGGCTTAAACTAACAGATAGAAAGGGAACCCAAATTGAGCGCTTAGTGCTTCTTTAAGAGAAGACTGGCTTATTATTTTCTCCTGCTTAGCTGGTTTATACTCTTTCTATATTTTAGGTCACCCAGACTTTGATCACAATGGGGGTGAAAGACCGCCCTCAGTGTTACTTTGATGTGGAGCTCAACCGGGAGCCAGGTAAGAGAATTTAAAATCAGTGTACTGATATGAGAATTAGTAACGTAAACGGCCTTGCTTCAATTTAGTAGATGATTATTTTGAAATGACACCATCAATAAAAATGTTGAGACTTTATGTATGTAGTGTTTTTCTTAGCCTTGGAGCTTTTGATTGATATTCTTGTGGTTGTACAAAGTGATAGTGGATACCAGTATGCTGGCTTGGTGTGCTGAGTGGTTCCATTAAAGTCTAGATTTGCCTGTAGCTATGGGAAAGTTTCTATAACGTCTGAGCTTTGCCACAGGATCCTTGTAATTCCACGTTGGAAGCCAATTAAAAGTGTGCAGTATGCACATTTGGGCCACTTAATTGTTATTCTTAATTGTATCCTTGGCCTATTAAAACTTTTTTTTTTTTTTTTGTTAATTGTTTTTTGTAACACAGTTAATATTTAAGCTATTTTGTATTATTTTTAAACATTTTATAAATTTCTGTAGCTGCAAGCAGAAGGAATCATTTTGCTTACTTTCTTTTCTTTTCTTTCTTGCAGTTGGGCGCATAGTCTTCCAACTTTTTTCGGATGTTTGTCCCAAGACCAGCAAAAACTTTCTCTGTTTGTGCACTGGTGAGTAATGTTCAGTCAAGGACACGTTTAACACAATTATCATCCTCCCTGTGTGTTCCATAAGATGATCACCGTGAGTAGAAAATGAAATGGAAAAATAAGAACCACAGCACCGCGATCCACACCCCTCTTTGGTCAAATAATACCACGAGGGAAGGAGGTATGGCTGTAGTGTAAATGATCCAGTGACAGATGGAGTTACTGGACGGGTAGAGGGGTCCTGGTCTGTCTCCCTAGATATTTCACCCCACTGAGCAGAACACAGTACACTGTAATAGTGATGGTCTGTCTAGAGATGGCCATAAATCTGCAAACAGACGGCAGATCGATCCTCCCTCTCATTTTTCACCCCACCTCGCCGATGGGAATGTGATATTGGCAAAGGCAGACATGGGAGACGGCCGGTTAGTCTGTTACTTTTACCTGAACGCACTTATACACACACAGAGAACATAACACAATAATATACACGAGTCAGCCGGGCAGATTGCTGTGACTTTTCTCAAAGTCTCTAACGTGTCCTTTTAGGAAGGGATCAGCTAACTGTATAAGAAACCAAACCTTTGGAACAATGCTGAAGCCAGTGAAGCAAAATACTAAAAGATTAGCAACCCAAGCTGCCCATCTGAACAGACAGCCCTCTGTCTGCTGAAGCCAACCTTAAAACATATCAACACATCTAATGAAATCTTTGCCTTCACGTCTGCTTTAAGCCAGTGGAAAGGGAAATCCACGGGGTAATAGCTTTGGGCTGCTATTCTGTCCCGAGTCAGTATCACTCCAGTGGAAGATTTCTTAATGAATCATGCAGTCCTGCACTAGAGTATTAACAACGAGACGCCTGAACAAAGGAGTCCTGTTTATTGGAAAACCACCCCCCCACCCGCCCCAACTGTGGGATCATTCCCTTGTTAAGAATGAATCCCACGCGGCAAAATTCAAGACCAACATTTCTTAACACCTCAAGGCATCTGGTACACACAAAGCGGTGTGTACAGTAGCAGGCCCTGTTTTTACTGTATCTTTAGCTGTTTTTTAGATTCAGTTAACACACATGTATTTGCAGGTGAAAAGGGAACTGGCAAAATCACAGGGAAAAAGCTGTGCTACAAAGGCTCCACATTTCACAGAGTTGTAAAGAACTTCATGGTCCAGGGAGGCGACTTCACCGAAGGTAATGGTTTAATGTATAATCTCATTTACATTGAGAGAGTTCTTGTTGAATCAATTCGAATGACTTCGTGAATTACTGTGGGGTTTTTACACGCCAGAAAGTCTTTAAAAACTTTAGTGTTGGATGAAAAATTCTTGACTGTGAGGGGAACGGTCTGATGGCTCAGATTGAAATGTTGTAAATAACATTAGTACAAGGGATTGACAGTGTTTTTTTTAGCTGTTTCAGATATGTAAGAAATGCCCCTAGCATACTATTTTGCTGAACATGTTGGCCACAGAAGGGAAGCACATTAACCACTTCTCAAATATTGTCCAAGACAGCACTTTCATCTAATGTGGTACCATATGTGCACGTCTAGTCTGATTTAGATAAAAAAGAGTTCAATTAATTTACCATTTTAATCTTTGCAGGAAATGGAAGAGGAGGAGAGTCCATATATGGTGGCTACTTTGAAGGTAATGAGAATATGAAGTTATCTAATGAGCAGTCTACATTGCTGATATCTCGTAAATGTACATCTAAATACTTAAATACTTTTGCATGAGCATTAACATTGCATGCGGCTATTGTTGTAAACAGGGTTCTTCTGAATTTTCCTTTGTATGACTCTTGACCTTCACTTTTCCATTGTATAGTGCTGTCTTCTATTTAGTTACAGTAGTGGGCTATATCAAATCAGCATGGAGAGTAGGCATTCTCTTTATTGAAAGCTACAATCTTCCTGCCTAAAATTTTCAACATATTCTTTTATTTATAGAGTGGTCTTTTGCAAAATGAGAAGGTAAGAGATGTACACAGCTCAGTAACACCATGTCAACATTGTCCCCACCACCTTCCTCAGTCAGTAAACAAACAAACAACAACAACAACAACAACAACAAAAGGTGCAAATCTGTGCAAAAGCACAGGTGCAAATTTGTACTGACGGATTTGCCATTCACACAGCTCCTCTGTTAAACCCCCAAAGCCTCTGGCTGCTCAAATTACTTTATATGTTACATATGTGGTATTTATAGCTACAGTATCCTCAGCATGACAGGTACAGAGTGGCAGTATCTTTGCTCAATATGAAGACTACTTGGGAGTGCCACAGTGGGTGTAAGATAATTAACCTTTAAACATGTATAAAGATGTAGAGACAGTTAAGATTTACACATTAGGAAGCTTTTTATTCTTCATGTTTTACAAAATAATATGAATAAAATAACTCCCTGTTACTGTGGATGATGTTACTTCAGTGTTTGATTGTAATCACTCATAGTAAAATGCGTTTAGTTCATATTTTAGTCCATTAAATTACTCTTTATCACTATGGAACAATTTTCCCAAATCATCTGTAGGAGACATGAACTTTGCTTTAGACAGGTGATTCATCACAGTGAGAATTCAGTTGCCTTTTTGTCTATAATTTACATCAATATCGGACACTTGTGGGTACCGTTTTTACAATGTTTTCTTATTGATTATCCTCTCTCCTGCCTTTTAATGTTTTTGACGGCTCTAAAAAATTTCTTGACCCTCCTTGAATCTACCATCATGGAGAATTTCTTCTAAATACTTCAAAACGTTAAGCCACTTGACGATAACGTGACCTTGCGGGGAAGAAAGGCAATGGAGGGATAATCTGTCTCAAGCAGGCATCCAGTCTGCGAATAGCATGTTGATATGAATGGCAGCCATTATGGTATTTTTTGGAAGGTTGTCAGAATGATGTAAAATGTAGGTGATTTGTATTTTAATTGTCTAAATCATACAAGAGCAGTTGTTTGGTGCTTTAGAAAAACGACTACAAGTCAAATTTGGCTCCAACGAAAACAGCTGACTTTGTGGAAAGACTGATTGGTGAGGTAATGATTGGGTTTGATGGATTAAAATGCAGATTTTTTCTTTTTTTTTTTCCCCTGTACGTCCCTGAATATATCTTAACATTAATCGGAGAACGCACCGTGAGACTTCGATCCTTCTTTCTCTGCTCCCAACAGATGAGAACTTCACTCTCAAACACGACAGAGCCTTCCTGTTGTCGATGGCCAATCGCGGGAAGGACACCAACGGTTCACAGTTTTTCATGTGAGCATTCAGTTCAACAATTCTCTCTGCAACTTAAATAACCATACCATTTAATTGAGTGCCATTCTTAATGAAGTTTTTGTTTTTGCTTTCTGTCCCTTCTGTTTTGAAACTGTACAGTAGAATTTGTCATTGAGTGTGACCGTCAACAATCCCCTCTCTGTGTGCAGTTAGAATTCAAAGTAGCAGAGAAACATGGATTCATTCTTTTTTACCTACAAATGTGTTACATTTTTTCTCTTGCCGTTTTTGTGTAAAATTTACAGAAACTCTAGCATCCTGCCCTTCCAAGGTAATGTGTCTCCAAGGCTGTGTTTCTCTCTCTCCTGACTGTATTTATCATTCACTAGTATATATTTGCAAACATTCTGCAGAGTACACTGTTTATTTTGGACATGTTAAAACAGTATTCACACATAATTTAAATTAACTCATGTTATTTGGCTTTGTAGACTTTCTTTATCACTAAAACAGGTTGTCACCATAATTTCCTCCATGAATAAAAATCTCATGAAACATAAAGGAGGAAATGTATACACTCTGTCTTTGTATGATTCAGATATTATTACGTAATTACCCACACTCTGTTGTTGAGTGTATACCTGCCTGTTTGTGGCTGTTTTTAATTGAAAGTATGTCCTAAATTGATGTGCAATCAAATATCATTAAACAACAGGTGGTCTTACAAATTCTGTACCTTTTTTTTTTTTTTTTGAGATGGTACAGTAGCACCCACGCTTTGTTGAAGTTACTTGTTTATTCTCATTCTTTTCCTCTTTTTTCTCCTTTTTTCATGACCCCTCCTCTGCCATTGGTTGATCTTCCCTGGATTGCTGGATTTCCCACAAACAGCACAACCAAGATGGCGCCGCATCTTGATGGGTAAAATCTACTGTCGGTTTTTGCAATTTTTCAAAGATTTATAGAAGGAAATAAAAATGGCGTTTAGAGTTAATTGTGAAGCGTCACGCCCCCGAAAAGTTGTTGAAAAGAATCAGAATTAGACTAAAGTCAGATTGGTGCATGGTAGTGCATTAGACTTTTTATTTTTCAGTAGAACCTTGTCCCTTTAAAACAATGGGAAGCAAACTGAGAGTAGAAATACAACAATGTAAGATTTTCAAAACTGTTCTTACCCAAAAAATAGTTTGTTCCAATAGGACCCCATCACACATGCTTAGAAGCTGATTGAGCAAAATGCATTTTCAGCACCTTCGGCGATATTGAAATAATGTAATAATAGTCAAGACCTGTATAATTATGACGAGTATAATCTTTTTTTGCCTCTGTGCAGAGTCCACGTCGTCTTTGGCCTTGTCATCTCTGGCTTCGAAGTGATAAAGAAGATCGAGGGGCTGAAGACAGATTCAGCCAGTAGACCCTACGCTGATGTGAGAGTGGTGGACTGTGGTCAGCTGATCACCAAGTCTGCAAATGATGGTAAGTTACCTCTTCAGTTACAGATCTTTTTTTCTGAAGATGTAAAGCTGGCTTTATTCTGTATGTTTCTTATCTAATGAAAAGGCCAAAACCAAGCGTGCGTCCACCTCTGAATACTTTCTGACCTCCCTTCTCTGGCTCAGCATTGACCTCACGGGTTCTTACTGAAGATATGAATCTTAAAAAAATGAGCCACAAACACACGGTTTAATCTTTTTGCAGGTGGGCATTGTTGTTTATAGCAAATGTGAAATCTCTCCACTTCAAGACTTTGTAGATTTGATATATTGCTACCCAGCCAGTGCAGTGAGAGTGTAATGTCGGGTTTATATGACTATTCATGATAGTTCTTAATAAAACAGCTTAAATTGATGTTATCCATTGTCCAGTGATCTATACAAAAGCTTACACTTTTGTCATTCTCTGTTTGGTTTTTGTCTTCTGTGCGGAATCTGTGTGTTGCCTCTGATTGTAACTGGGTCATATTTTCTGCTCATCCTGTAAGAGGTTGGCATTTGGATGCCAACCCCCCCAACCCCCCGGTGGCATTAGTACGGGGCGTGTAACGTGATCTTCTGTTTAATGGGGATCAGTGAGGTGATCTCTGTGGATTTCAGTTGGCATCTGCCCACCTGACTGCCAGGGCTGCTTTCATTGCCTCCAACATACCGAGAAGAATCAAACAAAGCCTTTGTTGCAGCAGAGTCATGCCACCCTGAAAATGACTCCTGGCATTTGAACTTTCCTTAATCCCTTTACTTTTACTGATGTATTCCTAAAACACACTGAATATTTTTGAGGAAATAACGTGCATGCTGTTATATTTCTTACTTTAGTTCTTCAAGGCAAGAGGAAAAGAACTTCCCATTCTGCCGACTCATCCCTCAACTCCCGTGACTCGTCCTCTCAGTTCTCGTCTTCAGTGGAATCTGAAAGTGAACCTGACGAAAAGCACAAACACCGCAAGCACAAGAAACATGCAAAGGGGAAACGGTCAAAGAAGAAAAGAAGGGAATCAAAGAAGGAGAAGAACGTTGATGTTCTGCCTCTCCAGCAAAGGTAATTTTTTTTATCCTTCATCACCACAGTTTTGAGCTGTATATCCAAATATATATGCAAGTACTGATATTCGAGACTTGTTGGTTCTTTGCATAACAAAACATTGTTTTGCATCGTGTTGTGTTGTTGCTGCTTTCACAGCTCTGTGGAAAGACAGATGCTGGAGGGAGAGAATGAAGTGGAAGGAGAGAAGGACCACGGTGGGAAGAGAGAGAAGCCCGTAGTCCGACCGGAGGAAATCCCGCCGGTGCCAGAGAACCGCTTCCTGCTGCGCCGGGACATGCCATCTCAGGAGGATAAAACAGAGATGTCAGTTTCAAGTTGGCTTCATTTAGTATTTGTTGTCTCACACTTCGGTATTTACAGTAGGCGTTTACTTTGAATTTTGATCTTTGCAGAGTTGAGAAAGAAGAATTGTCGGTTTCAGCTGACCAGAAACCAGCAGTGTCTAAGTCTGGACGCAAAATCAAAGGCAGAGGAACAATGGTAAGCTCACCTGTTTATGGCAGTTTTCACTCTAGGTATCTGCTTGTAACCGCTCTGTCCCAACTTGGGGTTAGGATCCCTCAAGTGTTCACAAGATAAATCCCTGGGATCACAAATGATTAACCATGTTTATTTTTCAGACTTCCTCTTTTTTTTTTTTTCTTGTGGATTGCTGGATAATTTTATTGTTTTGGGACTTATTCAAATATAGCAAAGCCAAAGGTTTGGAAACCGCTTCTGGAAAGAAATGATCTACATATCTAATTAGTTGACCACAGAGACAAACTATTCATCCTTTGTTTTCTCCTTGTTCATCTCTGCCTCACAAATCTTTACAAATCTGCACTCTTGAGATTATTTTCAGGATAATTAAACCTGATTCACTCCAGACAAAGAATATTTAAGCACAGCCTCTATGTGAAGAACTTTAGCAAGTATTCATATGAATTATTTTGACCTTTTTCTGCAGAGATATCACACTCCCACAAGATCTAAATCACGTTCTGCATCTGTGGAAGAACGGGGCAGCAGTGAAACTCCACCTCACTGGAAAGAAGAGATGAAGAGAACCAAAGTTTATCAACCGCCAAGCATGGAGAGATGGAGCAAAGGAGACAAGTATGACTTATTATTTTACTTTAGTAGCTTGGAATATATTTTTTTCTTTATTTTCCTTCATGCATCTTTTGACTTAACAGATTGAATGACCATTCCTCAAGCAGATGGGATGACAGAAGCGACTCCGCGTGGTCCCGATCTGCAGATCACTCTTCAGACCGCAGCTCCGAGAGGTCCAGCCCGCGCCGGCAGCAGAAGAAAGAGAAGAAGAAAGCCAAACACAAGAAGAAGGCCAAAAAACAGAAGCACAGCAAGAAGAAGAGCTCCAAAAACAAACCTCAAGAGATTTACCTGTCGGAGGGTGAAAAGTCAGCGTCTTCAGGAAGAAAGTCCCGACGGTCCCGCTCTCCGTCTCGTTCCTCCTCAAGTCAGCGCCATTCATCGGCTCGGAGGAGGCGGTCCTCACTGTCTTTCAGAGACTCACGATCCTACTCTAGATCCTACACATCAAGTCGATCCAGATCTCGAGGGAGGTTTTATTCAAGGTCTCGAAGCCTGACCAGATCTAGAAGCCGGTCCCTGTCCAGATCTTCGTCCTATTCTAGATCCAGGTCAAGATCAAGATCCAGGTACAGATCCAGGTCTGTGTCTCCATCCAGAAAGAGGAGTTCATCTAGATCCCTAAGAAAGAGGAAAGCCAGCAAGACCAAACCAGTTACTGTGATCCATTTGACTGACAAGCTTCCTGAGAGCAAAGTCACACCTGTCCCCAGACTCCCTAATGTCCCCGCTCCAGAAAATGTCCCTGTGATCCCACTGAGCGACAGTCCTCCTCCCTCGCGCTGGAAGCCCGGTCAAAAGCCCTGGAAGCCCTCCTACATCCATATTCAGGAAATTAAAGCTAAAGTAGCTCACACTGTTCTCTCCTCCACAGGACAAGCGGTCGACAGGGTTACGGAGAAAGCTCAGACTTCAGTTACGACAAAATCTCTGCCTGGAGACTCCGAAAGCGACAAAGCAAACAAGCCTGCAGGGCGCTCGCGCAGCAGGTCCTCCAGGAGCAAGTCGTACAGCCGATCATACAGTCGCTCACGGAGTAGGAGTTACAGTAGGTCCAGGTCCAGATCCCCTCATCAGTATCACAGCAGTTCATCCTCCTACAGCAGGTCAGACTCCGAAAACTCCCAGAAAACAAGCAGCAACAAAAAGAACTCACTAGACAAAGAGTGGAAAGAGTATTACACCTCTCTGAGGAGGATAAAAAATTTAGATAAGTACATTTCACTCGGCGGTAGTCAAGATGCTCATTCAGGATCGGAGAACAAGACGGGCATTGAGCGTAGTCCTGGTATCAGTGTCTCAAGGAGAAGTGACTCTTCGGAGAAAATAAAAGAGAAAGGCGGCTCACAAGATCAAGAGACAAAACATTTCAGCTCAGTGCCAGTGGAGAGCTTCAATAGCAGGTCTGAGTGGGATAGTGACAGCGATAAAGTGAGCCAAAGCAACAGCAACGTCCCATCAAAAAAGCAGAAACAAACAGCTCTCTCCAGCGAGTCTCATGATAAGAAGTTGTCGGCTCTCACTGGGTGGAATTCAGAAAGCGATTCTGAAAATATGACAGCGAGGACATTAGCCATATCTGAAAAAGAGGAAGGGGAGGCCAGTTCAGAATCAGACTGTGAGACTTCCAGAAAGGCGTCGGAGGCAGCGACCGATTTAGCGCACAAGATCACCGTTGCTGCTGCTGCTGCTGCTGCTGTGTCTAGTCCATCAGAGAGAAATCTGGAGAAAGCCACAGAGCCAGAGAAGCACAAGAGCAAGAAGAAAGCCAAACGCAAACACAAGCATAAGAGGAGAAGTGAGAACAAAACTGGCTCCCATCACAGTAAGGACAAACGTAAGAGATCTAAGAGGAAACATCAGAAGCTGAAAGAGACTTTTCACTGGCAACCACCTTTAGAGTTCGGAGACGAGGAAGATGAAGATGAATCCAAAAAGGAGAAACACAGTCCCGGTAGAGTTGGCAAAGAAAGGCCTGGTGTCGGCAGTACGAATGATGTTGCGTCTTTGAACAAATACCCTAGTAGAGAAGAAGAGAGGGGCCAACAGAGAGCAAGAGAATGTATTAATAAAAACCCCAAACAAGCTGAAGCTCATCAGTCATCCAACAGGAATGCTAATAATGCTAATCTACCCAGCGTCAAAGAACAGGAGTCATTGGATGACATGGACATTTGTACGCCGGAGCATGACGCTGAAATTGAAGAGTCTTCAGTTACACATGATTCTTTTTCTAACACCTCTGAATTAACCCTGAAATCTACCTCAAAGTCTTCTGATATGGGAAGGAAAGATAATGATTTACCTCACAGCAAAGGACAGCCTGCTGTTACCTCCACGACAACTGCTGGACTGGAAGATGAAGCAGCCGGTGGCAAACCTACCGGCACTGTAATTACTTTTAAATGGAGGCCTTTGAAAGGAATGTCGGCTACGCAAAATGTGAACGTGCCACCCGTCGCTGCGAAAAACGTCCAAATTCAAGAGAACCAGAACTCCAACACACAAGGAGTAAGAATGGAGATAAAAAGTAAAAGCCGGGTCAGACCGGGATCCCTGTTTGACGAGGTACGCAAGACCGCACGGCTCAACCAAAGGCCGAGGAACCAGGAGAGCTCCAGTGAGGAAAAATCCCCTTCTGTGGGAAAGACCAAGGGAACGTCTCGCACGCGGTCCCCGAAGAAGTCCAGGTCTGTGTCTAGGAAGTCTCGCTCCGTTTCCAGTCACCGGTCTCGCTCCAGAGGGTGGTCGCACTCCTACAGCAGGTCCAGGAGTAGATCCCGCAGCTCCAGCTACTCATCCAGGTCAGTCCAAAAAAAAAAAAAAAAAAAAAAGGCACTTTGAGTAAATGAAGAGTATGAGGGCACCATCGATAAATGTTTCTAAATGCTGGAGAGGCTTCTTAGATGTAGATCAAGATGGTTGTGAAGTGATAAAGTTGGTGCATGTGCAGTATTTAATCTAGAAGCGAAAATCTATATCTTTGGAACGGACCCTTTGTTCTCGCTTGGGGGGAAAATGTCCTTTATAACGCCATGTGATTCTTTTAGGAGTCGGAGCAGGAGTCGGAGGAGACGTGGAAGAGGACGGTCACGCTCCCGCAGCAGTACATACCGAAGTTACAGGAGTCACAGGTACAACCCGAAGCGCAGATTTAATAATCCGAAACTAATGGATCCCAGTGGGAAATGTTTTCAGCAAAAACCAGGGGTCATCAATATAGAGAAGAAACCTTGGAACTCCTGTTGTTTTAGTATCTTGCCACTGCATTTTACATTTCAGCCATGTAAATTCTTTACAACAGTCAAAAACCTCTGTACACACTTACCTTTCCAAGACTTCCCATTGTATTTTTCCATTGTGTATTTTAACATCACTAGTGTATGACTAGTCTAAACCTCTTTTTTTCCTCCTTCCATCAGTCGGACCTACAGTAGAAGTCATTCCAGAAGTCGCTCGTATAATCGCCGTCGGAGATCCAGGTGTGTGATCCTCCTCAATGTACAAACTCAGAATCAGAAATCTTCCTTTTAATGGGTCACTGAACACACTTAAATGTAGATTGTGATTGAACACAATTGTGCATACTGTATATTGAGATTAAAACAAACACTTTGGATTTTTTAGACACCTGTCAGTTTTCATAAACTGCGATATGAAGTTACAGCTTAGATTATATCATATCAGAGGAGCAACTGATACTGAGTGATACATAGCAACCAAAAGAAGAAAAATGTTGAATATTCAGTTAGTCAAGTTATTGAAATTCCTCAGAATGTTTTGACAAAATAAGCTATTTAAAGATGTAACCTTGGCCTTTAAAAAATGTTATGGGTCTTGTTCATCATTTTCTGACATTGTATAAACCAAAAGATTAATCAGAGTTAGTTGCAGCCGTAAAAGAGACCATTCCTCTCTTAAGCCATTAATTATTAGTTGCATGTAGAAGCAATAACTATTCAGTCTTTCTCACTATGGATGCAGACATTGATGAAGTTACTCTGTCATTGTGATGGGGTTATGACCAGTTTATGAGGTCTTGTCTTTACCAGGGTGATATTGAACTTTTGACTCTTGTTAGTATCTGGAGGTTTTCTATTGGATAAGCATCAGAGGGTCAATCGTGTGATTTCTTAGTTTGCTGGAACTATAAATAGTGAATTATTTCCCCTCTGACTTCTTATGATAAGGTATCGTCTCCTACGTTTTATACAGTATATCCTAACCCTCAACCCATCAGTGTTTTGTGTGTTTGTTGTATTTTGGTCTGAATGATCAACACTACAAAGCTGGACACCTCTACTAAACAGCATTATGTAGATATTCCCAAAGTGATAACACTGTTGTTATGCGGCTGTATGTTAATGCAGGTCAGACTCCTATGACAGCTATTCCAGCCGGAGTCGCAGTGTGAGCAGGAGACGAGGGCGCAGACGAAGTGACAGCTACAGGAGCTCAGACCGCCGATCCCGGTAAGACGCTCTGCTCCCCGGTGAACCCTGACAGACATCAACGAGGTGGCAGGTCTCAGTTCAGCCTTTTACACAAATCCCTGCTTTACTGTCGGAGCGTGGGACCAGTTGATGCGCTCACGTTTTGTGTTTTAGTTTTTGTATTTATCAATCTGCCGTACGGCGAATGCATCTCCTTCATGCCTCAAAGTTCAAATATTTCATCGTGATGTTGCCCTCCACAGGTCGTACCGCTCCTCCAGTCGCAGTTCTTCCCGGCGCAGGAGCCACAGTCGCAGCAGTCGGTACAGCTGAGCCTCAGGCAGCTTGTTGGGTTCAAAGTCTGGACACTGTGCACAAACGATGGCAATCACAGACCAGCAACTAAAGCTCCAAGAGGAAGAGTTACTAGTTTAATATATACACTGTAGTGTATATCCTCCCTACATAAGCTGATATGACGGTCTTTGAAGAAGTGAATGTGATTGAATGTAAATAAATAAACCACTTTACAAGCTAAGGCTGCAGATCTTTGTCTTTAGGGACTGTCACAGCTGAGAACAAAACAAAAAAAAAAAAAAGGCCACTCACAAACAGATTTTTTGTTTGTGAAATATATGGCTTGTCATCAATAATATGAGAAATAAGCTGTACATATTTTATATTATTGTATATTTGTGTATTCCTTTTCTACTTCTGATTTTTATACACTGAAGTGTGAAAATATATTGTAAGTGTCTAACCTTTTCAGCTGTGATGTGTCTGAGGGGTTGGTGGTTATGCCTCAAGTTCAGGGTCAGTAAGACTGGATTGTTTTTCTCTGAAAAAATCCTCATTAAATGGAAAACATTTTTCGTAGCAGTTTTGAGCTGTAATTTCTCCTTTGTTCCAATTGTTTTATTAATGTACTATGAATGTTCAAACTTGAGTATGTTTGATTTTGGTTTTATTCAAATGGTTATGAATGTTTCCGATTAATAAATTCCACTGCATCCTGTGACCCTGTTTTTTTGTTTTGTTTTGTTTTAAATCTCACAGTGTTCAGCAGATAATACTGCAGAGATGTCAGTTTATGTCCTCAAATGTACTTGGAGTGTCTATGCCTCTACAATGGCGCCATCTACACTTCAATTCAGAACTGCAGTGTGTGTGTGTGTGTACCTGTGAAACCAATCCAGTTACCTGCAGGCTCATGTCTTTATCCTGGCAGATTTAAGTGTGTGTATTATATTTATGTCAAACACTGTCAACGCACAGACCGAATACTGACTGCGGTTTTCTGATTAAAGGATCAACTGTAATTTTTTCTATTAAATGTCATGTAATTGGAAGAATCAGATTAATTCATGACTATAATTTCACTCCCTGATCAGGGCACTTCATTGGAATAAGAAAAAAAGAAAGAGACGACTCCATTAAATTATTAATTGTACTCAGAACTAATTGAAAATTTGCTTCCCTCCTTGCTAATATTTGCATACAATTAAAGCTGCTGGTGTCTGCGCTCCTGTCTCTCTCTTGTGGAAACTTCAGCTTGCTAGAAACCAGCCACTGTCCATCAGATACAGATCCTATTGAATTGCTCCAAGTGCGGGACTCGTTTTTATCTGCAAGTGCAGGAGAGCAGGCGGTGAATACGTGTTCTGTTCAGGCTGTTTTGTATGGATGGCTTTCAGCAAAAAAAATCAAATCTGGATTTACAATACTCCCATCGTGCCACCACGCAAGAGTGGAAATGTAACGACGTGCACGCAGGTTTACACCAAAATACATTGTGTGCTGGGAAAAAAACTAATCTGATTAGTCAAAAGATAATAAAAGATACTAAAAAAGCTCTCAAACACTCTGAGTTTTCCATTAAAAAAACTTGTTTATCTTGCAATGAGTTTTTAAGAGGATCATTAAGCTTTTTGCTTCCTACGTCTCCTTTGGTTTATTTTTAATTCATAGTATGCAAGTGTATCTGTTTATATATGCAATTAAATGTCTTGTGTACATTTATCTTTAATAATAGTTGTATTTTTTAATATGCAATAAAAGGGAATAAAACCAAGCTGAGGTTTCATGAGGAAAAATCATCAGCCTGTTGACAGCCTGTTGTTTTTGGGGAATTATATTATTCACTTTTGTCGTTTTCAATTCCTCCTTGTCTGAAATGTTAAACAGCACTAGATATGAAATATTGAACGTTTTTTTGAGCGGCTGGGGCAATCCAAACCACATGATTACTTTGTTTACACTGCCACACTCTGTATCTTTAATTAAAACCCACTAAATGCTAAACATGTTGCACGATTTTTATCAGTCTGGTGGTCGGTTTGGCAGCTTCCCTGAGAGACTGTATCCACATTCATGTTGTGGGCTCAGCTGAGTACTAGACATGAAGTGATAAATGAGACCTCCTCCAGGTTGTGATCAATTTTTTTTTTCCCACCTTGTTATGAGAGTATCGACTTCTCCTCCATACAGTCGGCAGAGCCGTGAGTGATGGCAGTGGGGTCCTGAGGCCCTCGGCTGAATTACCAAACAGGAAAAGTGGGCAGTTGCCTGAGGGCCAAAAACTGTCTGGGGGTCCGGATGCTCGGGTTTTTCTGTGTGACGATTAGAGATGAAATAGTAAATTAGAAAATTAACAAGCTATCGCTGTCGCTATTTTAATAATTGATTAATTTAAAGTCATTTTTCAAGCAGAGGTGCTGAACGTTTGCTGATTCCAGTTCTTAAATGTGAGTTTGTGCTTTTCTTTGTTTTATCTTACTATAAACTTTGGTCAGACAAAACAAGACATTTGAAGGCGTCACCTAAAGAAAACAGTTAATTAAGAAAGTAACTAGCAGATAAATCGATAATGTAAAGAACTGTGGGTTGCGACCTCCTGCATGCCTTACTTAAACAAAGTACGTAAGCTTATTCGCTTTCTTAACTGACAAGTTTGATACCACTGCGTTGAGTATAAATCTTTAGCTTTAAAGGTGCTGGTAGACAGATTTTGTTACATCTGCACAGAACCAGGCTAGCTGTTTCTCCCTGTTTACAGTCTTTATGCTAAGCTAAGCTAATCGACAGCCTTATATTTACTATACAGATACCTGCGTTATAACCCAGACCCCGTCTTGTAAGGAGGCCCATCTCAGTTTGCCCCTGGGGCACCTTAGAAGGTTAATCCGGCCCTGGTGAAAAGGGGGTTAGGTGGTTTTATTTTAGTGTGTTGTTTAGTGTGTTAGAGGCATAACAGGAGTTTCTCTTTTCACATTTTGCCTCTTTTGTGGTCATATTTCTCATTGAAAAACACACATTGTGCATATTCAACAACATTTATGTCCCAGTGGAGAATCTTGACATGGAAAAAAAAAAGTTTTGACCGGGCTGCTGTGTGGCGTTTATTTCCATTTCCATTGTGTAATTTTAAAATCTGCAACATGGGAAATGAATGAACTCCCTGACCTCCGCATCTGTCTGCCCGTCTGACGTCACACTGTTGCAGGAGCGCACGGTGAGAGGAAGCGCACCCGGGTTTGCGCCATATGGCCGTGTGTCCTTCCCAGTCCTCCGCCTCACGCCAAAATAATCAAAGAACGGTACAAAGAAATGCGCCTGTCTCGCAACTCCACGTTTAACAGTACCGTGTCCCTTTAAAAACGTCTGACAAAAAGCCCATATGATCCCCGAGCTCCAATCACCAATTCCTTCTGCAAAAGCAGCCTCTGCATTTTTGTCTGTCTGAATGCTACAGCAGCACGGGGGGAAAAAGATTGTGGATAAGGCAAAAACTGAAGAAATGTGACAATCCAACGGTCATTTTCATGGCGAAGGGAAAACTGGTGCGAAAGGAGTTATTCTTGGACTCCTTTGAGCCTCGAAACGCTGGATCAAAATGGTAGGCTACAGAGGAGCGCTGCATTTTTGTTTATTTTTTTTGTCCCTATTTGATCTCTTGCAAATTTGAGCTACTTAGCAGGCCGATCAAACTTGCCACACTTCTGCCTTATTATGTGTTTGTGCCACGGGCTGTCACTGGCGTATTTCGTGCTTTGTATCCTTTGCGGTGAAGTTTGTAACTTGCCGACATGGCACAAGTTGGAAATTGAAGCTGCTGAAAGAATGCAATGGCTACAATAGCTACATTGATGCGGAGAAGGAGTTAAATTCTTTCATATCAGGGCGCTTCTGCAAAAGCCTCAGGTCGTGACTGGTGCATATGTAGACAGGATGAGTGAAACTCAACTGCCCCCTTTTTCTCCAAGCCACACAGCCAGTGCAGGACAAGTTTGTCAGGCTTTGACATTCATGCATAAATTACAGAATCTGCTCAGTGTAGTTGAACAGAAGAGTAGATGACACTCTTCTGGTCTCAATAACTTGAATGCAGGTGACACAGGTAGAGGTGAAACGGTCCTAGAGATGTAAAACATATCTATTTTGGCTGAAGCTGCATAGTACGAATAAATGCTAATGTAATTGTAGTGTTTGGTAGTAATAGTTTATTTGATAATGTTTCATTTTGTCTGTTGCTTGAGGTCAGTCTCGTTCACTTTTACAGGCTAATATCCCTTGTCACTGTGGATAACTTGCATTTTTCCATGATGTTTTAAATCCTCCATCGGCAGATAAGATTAAGATTCTGTACAGACATACTGATAGAGTTAAGGAAGTAGAGGCAGATAGTGAGGCAGACAGTCAGCTCTGTCTCCAGGGTCATGTTAGGATGCCTCATTAGGAAAGCATGTGGAGCTTGATGCAGTGGTGGAGTAATCCCAGCGCGCGTTCACATCTGGAGGCTTGGGTTAATATCTGGGTCAGGTCACCGGGGTTAGCCCTGGTGCTCGCTGGGTGGCTTCTGGTGGGAGCAAAGAGGGAGTGAGAGGGTTTGGTTTTTGCTATGTTTTCCCTCTTTTTTTTTCTGTTTGCTTTTTTTTCTTTTTTCTTTTCTTTTTTTTTTTGAGCACATGAGAGTAAGCTGCGATAAACATAGTGCAAACTGTGCTTTGCAAATGTGCGAGTGATCAGAGGTAGTGTATCTTTTGACTGTTTTGGTAAACATGCCCCAGATAATTTCCGCAATTACTTAGTTGACATCAAAAGCGGATTAGTCTCAGCCAATTTTGTTTTTGTCAATAGCTTCAATTTTAAACCCCATCAATTCAGTTATTCATGGATGTCTGAATGGGCCTGTGGGGTCAGGAGGCACCTGGACCAGAGCATCTTATGAAGTGACTGTGTTTGGAAAGTACAAATAGCTGCAAAACAACCACAAACGGACACATATAAGTGAAAAGAGACAAAAAATGACTAAAAAGAGATGCAAAACAACTACAAACAGGTGCCAAGTAAGTACAAAGAGATGCAAAAGAACTACAAAATGAGTCCGACTTGACACAAAATGACCCAAAGAGGAGAAAAGCGACCACAAAGAGACACAAAACGATGAAAAAAATAGGCGCAAAATGACAACAAAGAGGGAGACAACAAGCACAGAGAGACGCAAGACAATATATAGATGCAAAATCTCTCGCTGTTATGTTGCAAAGGTGGGAGGCCTTTTACATGTGAGTGCCGAGGGGCTCATTGTCTCATAATCCACCCATGG